AAAATTATTTAATTTAATTTTAAAATAATATAGATATAGTTATAAATGTTTAGAATAATTGAAATTATATATTTTATACATTTTTAATTCTATTAACTTAAAGCTATTAACATCAAATTATATTCAGATATTTTATTTATAGCAGATTACTCATGTAAAAAGTATTTATATATGTCTATAAATAATTTTTATCAGATACAAATAAAATAACATAATAAGAAACGAATTAAAAAGACTATACGTATAATTTTTTTTTATAGAAAAACACGCCAGCTTGCAGCTGTGTGGATTGTGAACAAAGTTGTCCAATACCACCGCCGATGCCTCCATTACCAACGCCATTTTCAATATTTGGTTATGATGGTTACGAAGTTATAATGACAATTATTTTTGTATGTGGTTCCTGCCTTTTCCTTCTGTTAATGATGTGTTTCAGCCATAGGAAACGTATAGGTAAGAAATTTGATTTGATTTATGCGTATCGAAATTATATTCTTTAAATATATGTATATATAAAGGGATTCATAATTTTTATTATTTAAAATATCTCTATTACACTTTCAAAAATAGAAGAAAATATCTAAAGATGATTATTCAGTTTGATATATATTATTGATTGGTAATACTTCTTCCAAGATATTTTTTTTAGATTTTGAGATTTATGTCTTATATTTTTTTTACGGTATGTGTTATATGTTTTTACACAGTATTATAATCAATTTGACAAATTCGACAACGTAAAATGTTAAGTGATACAACTTTCAAATAACTTCGTAATTAAAATTCACCTGTTTACATCAATTTTAACATTTTTTTAGAGATAAAAGATATTGTAAGGGGGGTTTTATCACTGAAGAATACCTTACTATAAGTAAAGCAATAAACAACTTATGATTCAATATGCTTGAAAACACACTCACTGTATTTAGTAGTACAGATGCTTAGTAATAAATAAATGCTTAAAATAATTGCCCTAAACTTTAATACATTTGAGATTTCTGTCAAGGTTGAGTTCGAAAACATCACCCAGGTACTTCCGTATATCGTATTTTCCTCGTTTAACATTGGGTGAATAATAAAGATAAAACGATACACGAGGGCACTTGAATGATGTTTCCGAACTCAGTCCAACTATAATATGTCTTTTTGAACTGAATATTTCATCAAACATTTGATTTTATTCTTCAAAGAAACGAAGATATTTTAGATAATAAAGATCAATATGTATATTTTATATACATATATATTAATGTATGAAAATATACATATATTCAAAATTTGTTAAAAATAACAAATTATGAAAATGGAAAATGTATTGTGTTTTTTTAATTAAAGCTATTTTTTTTTATTATATTTTGCAGATAATTATTTTTAAAAATTTATTGAATATGTTAGTGACTAATGTAGTTAATTTGTGTTATTATTATTATTAATCATCTCTAAGCGAATATGTAAAATAAGGGTGGAGATAAGAATTGATTATGTGATTAATTTATTCTAATAATTCTTAGATATATTTTATTGTTATTGTTTGTTTTTTGTGAGGTCTTTTTTTTGCACTTATTTTATTTAAAGCTTTAAAAAACATAAAATAACGCTAAAATATTAATATTTTATTTACAAATGTACTAAAAAATAAACATTATTTTTGTGAGAAATATTAAGACAATTTACCAATATGGTTACATTTATAAATTAATATAAAGATAGTCATATTCACACACAAAGTTATATAAAATTTGCAAGATACTACGTATTAATTATTTAAGTATTGTTTTAAAAAAAAGTAATTTTTTTTTATGAATGCGCGCGTGTCATCCACTTCAGCTCGTGAAATATTTGTTGCACATTTTTTAATTTTTTTGTTAGAAGTGTTAGTGTTAACATTTGCACTAACTTTTTGTTATTTTATGAACTAATGTATATGGAGTTTTATTTGATATTATTTAGATTTTAAGAAGTGTGAATTACTGGAAAATAACTTTACGTGTGTGGAACGAACGAGTTTTTTACTTTGTTATGACTTGAAACATATAAACTACTTGAAGCATATATGACTTTCATATAATACTTATAATGTCATACAAAATAAGTACAGACTATAGGTTGTGTATGTATGGTGTGTGGATATGTATAGTTGCACGAGGAGAGGAGGTAGGAAGACAGGTGGGTAGACGGCTAGCTGCCGGATTACACCCAGGAGATGGTGCTCGTATTGCCCTCGCCGCTGACCAAGAAGACAGTCCACTTCAGTCTAAGCGTTCTAGTAGGTTTTTTCGATTCTAAAGCTCTACCTTCGATGTGTTCGTCATTGCTGTTTTCCTGTTATAGCTTTTTTATTGCTTTACAGCTTTTGTCTTTCGCTTTATTTTCAGCCCTTGCAGATCGTACCTGCCAGGATGTCAATTGCGCATTAGACAAATTTTTCACTTATTTGCACTTGGATTTATCAAGTGTTTTAGCACTAAGCTATACATAACTTGTATCTCTTGCAATGCAATACTGCATATTTGCATTACGTGACAAATTATGATAATTATCTATTGCACTAAAAATTTTAATGCTTAAGGGTGACGCTTAAAAAGTTTGCATTTTATATAATTACTATTACATGAAAAAAGCATGAACTTGATGATGTATTCCGATAATTAATATATTACGCTGTATAATCTTATAATTTATATACAATATTCACGAATAAGTGTTATAAAAAAATATTTTCAAGTTTCTAAAGAAGCATATAAATTTCTTAAAAGTAGGAAAAGTAGTTTGCAAATATCATTTCTCTGCTCACAAAAATTGTGTTGCAAATATTTCGTATGTTTTGCTTTATGTTTTTAAATTGTATATTTTTTTTATAATACTTTATGTTTTGCATGTTACAATATGTTCTAAGAATTACTTTAAATAGTTAATTTAGAAAATAAGTAAGATGTTCTGTTTATAAATTTAATCAAGAAAGAATTTCCCATCAATAATTAAAGAATAATCTTGAAAAAAAGTGAAGCAAAATTAAATTTTGTGTGTTACTTTATATAGAATATATTATATTCAAATAGGTAATTTATCTGAATTATGAAAATAGTTAAAAAATAATGAAAATTTAAAAGATATGTACAAGTCGTTTTATTTATCATATCTAGAATATTAGTGAAGTGAAATGTCTAATATTATTGAAGGGAATTTTTTTATATCTTAAAATTTAGTTATATTTATTCTAAATCACATATTCTATATTACTTTTCAAGCGTTATTTTCTTGTAAGTTAACAAAATCAATAATTTTAGTAATCTAAAAAAATTTGATTTCTTATAATTTTGTATTAATTTCAATTAAAGAACTATATCTATATCTGTAGGATACATACTAAGTACGTTAAAAGATATTAAAAGATGATTCCTCATACAAATTCAAGACAAAAACTTTATATAACCATATGTCGAAAATCGCTTAGTTTTTAAAAATACAAGGTGTCAAGAAATTTTATTTTTTTTTTAAATCTCGAAAACTACATTTGACCGTTAAATCGTATGTGAATAATGTCGAGGTCTACATCAAGACTCGCCCGAGCTGTTATTATAAGGAATATGCGGACATTTTCCTAATTTTGTGATAAGTTAATGTCTGAAGAGGGTTCAATCCGATAGTCGAAACTTGTAACGTTTTATATTTGAATTTAAACTGAGTTTTTTATTATTTTTTTCAATTTTATTTGTCTTCATTTGTAATTTATTCTTTTTAATTGTGTGACAATTTAAAAAATGTGTTTGACTTTTACTTTGTTCTTTATTTATTATTATTTATTTTGTATATAAAGAGTCCTTCTATCTGTTAAATGTCTCGAAAACTATTCAAGTTGTTTTTATAGTATTATGAACAGCATCTTCAAAATAACTTGAATATATATTATGCAAAGTAATTTCATCAAAATAATTCGAGTAATTGAAATTGTTAGAAAAATTTATAGAAAAATTTTTGTCTTCAACTTTGACATTCTACATCTTTGAAACGAAGTCATGTTAGACGTATAGTCATATGAAGTTTTTGAATTTGTGTGAGGATCATCCTTTAAAATCTTTTAGTCTACTTAGTGCATGCCATGTATAAAAAAATTTATTTTTTGCAGTAAGTAATGTAATGTGTTGGTCTCTACATTATTAATTATATTATAATTAAAGTTAAAGTTTTATTATTGTTTTTATTATTGTTAAGTTAAAAAATTATTCAATTTTAGAATTTAAGGTTTTCATAAAATGTTTTTATACTCTTATATACAACAAATTGGTTACTTGTAACATTACTATTTTTTCCAATAACATATGCAGATGATACAGTATAACACTGTCTTACACAAAATATTCCAACTCTGACACAGTGTTACACTACTCGATACTGTAAAAAGCAAAGTATAAGCGTATAAAACATGTTAATATTATCAATTTTTCAAAAAGTTATTTGAGAATCATACTCATTTTGTAATCGTCAAAAACCGTCAATTCTGAAAGATTTATAACTTAAGTCTAAATTAAAATCATTAATCTATTATTGATGCGCTAAATATAATTATAAGAATAAGAATGAAAGACTACAATACATTCTGGTGTTACACTGTGAAACTAAACTGCGTTCCAACAAATATCTTATACAGTGGAACACACAGTGTAATGTTCTATATCCCAGCTGGAAGCTAACAGCCCATTTATAATATAATTATAAGTGATAGAATATTAAAAATTTACAGCACACACACTTTTACACTCAAAATTGTTTAAGCTAATACATAATGGTGCTTAATCGAATATTTATAAACCATAAATTTATTATACTTAATACAAATATTTTTTTAGGTGTTATATCTTCCGATGAGTTACCAGCTGGCTTTGATCAAGAACAGTCCACCTTCATTGAAAAACTTGGAGCAGGTACTGACAAATTTTTGCAAGAATTTTTCTGCAAATGGGGAACAGGTAATATAATTTAAATTTTATGATATAATTTACATAGATTTAGATTATGACATTATTATGTTGTTTCATATTTGCCTACAATGACCAATATTCTTTTATAGTTTGCGCTTCTCGACCTTGGTTAATACTTTTCCTTGGCTTCCTATTGATTGTTGGCTTGGGACATGGAATAAAATACATGAAAGTTACTACAGATCCTGTGGAATTGTGGGCATCTCCGCATTCTCGATCGCGCATTGAAAGGGAATATTTTGATAAACACTTCGAACCCTTTTATCGAAATGAACAAATTATTATCACTTCTGTTGGCTTACCGAATGTATGTATTAAAATATATTAGAGTATTTTAAGTTTTCTTTGCATATATAGAACAAATTAAATTTTTAATATATATCTACAAAATAAGAAAAGCAGTAATATAATTGTTTCTTATCGTTCCTTGTAGAAATAGATTATATGTGTATTAACTTCGATTTATTATATTTTGTAATTCTTTATTTTATATAATTTTTAATTACAGATTGTACACAATACATCCAACGGACCAATTGTATTTGGTCCCGTGTTTAATGATACTTTTCTAAAAACAGTCTTTGAATTGCAAGAAGGTATTAAAAGTATAGTTACTCCTAACAATTACACGTTAGCGGACATATGTTTCGCTCCTTTAACTGGACCATTTACCGGCCCAACAACTGTCTCGCATTGTACTATTCAAAGTATTTGGGGTTACTGGCAAGACGATTTAAAAAAGTTTGAAAACTCAGAAGAAGAAGGAAATTATACAGTGAACTATTTGGATCATTTTAGAGTATGTTCACAGTAAGTAATAAAAATGAAAAAGATTGTAATATTATATATTTATTTATTTTAACCGTCTTTTTCTGAAATATGGATTTTCGGAATAAGTTATTGTACTTATCTTCATGCTCTCTCATTGTCAATCCTTAACTCTTCGATCAATCTTGAATGAGATGACATGCATGTAATGAGGATTGGAAGCATATCGACTATTCTTATGAAACCATACATTATATTATATTCATTTAAGGCAAACGTCCCAATGACCGGACATATATTTATGTCCGGACACTTACACATAATTTATTATTATTAATCTCAAATGCTCTTTTTATTACAATATGATAATTTAGTTATATTTAAAAATTATAATTAAATTATAATATTATATTTAAAAAACCATTTGAGATTAATTAATAATCAATTTTGTGTAAATGTCCGGACATAGATACATGTTCGGTCACTGAATAACTTATCTTAGTTATATTTATGAGAATAACATAAGTAAAATTTAAAGAATTGTAGAGACATACGTAGTTATATATGTATAAAATATGAAAGTGCTAATATATATTATGAGATAAAAATTAAAAACAGACTCTAAGGGATATTTATGTTTAATATATGCAGAAAAATTGATATTGATATAAAAGAAACAAACTGTATTTTAGTGATAAGATCTACTTTAGATAAATTTGTTTACATTGATATGAAAAAGTGAAAAGTTACGATAAATTTTTAAAATCAATATTTGAAGAATATATATCAGAAGTTGATAAGAATTATCGTTGAATCGTAACTATTAATAAATCTGAAGTATTTGAAAAAAACTTAATACTCTTGTGTTGAAAATGTATATAACAATATTCTTTTTTAAATCATATTTATATTTATATTTTTGTTTCTTAGAAATGCATATAATCCCGAATGTCTCGCACTTTATGGCGGCCCGGTTGAGCCAGCAATTGCAGTGGGTGGATTTTTGTCTCCGGGACAAGATCTTCATAACCCGTCATATGAAAAGGCAACCGCTATAATCCTTACTCTTCTTGTGAACAATTATCACAACAAAGCCAGATTATTACCCGCTATGGAATGGGAAGAAAGGTAAGCACGATATTTCGAAATTTACACGATAATTCGAAAGTTCTTTATTTCTGTATTCAAATAAGATTGTACTGATTGTACATCGTATATCATATATCGTTCAATTTCAGCTTTATTAACTTCATGAAAAATTGGACGGCAACAAGAAAACCGGCATTTATGGACATAGCGTTCACGTCCGAGCGTTCTATCGAAGATGAACTGAATCGTGAATCTCAATCAGATATTGTGACTATTCTAGTATCATACATTATTATGTTTGGATATATTGCAGTGTCTCTTGGCCAAATTAGATCATGTGCTCGTCTTTTGGTAAGAATCTATGTTATGTTATATGCTTAATCTTAATTTTACGTCTTTTAATATTATTGTACATTTAATCCGTTTATTTTTTTAGAACGATTCTAAGATTACTCTTGGACTTGGAGGTGTACTCATAGTGCTAGCATCTGTAATTTGTTCAGTTGGATTGTTTGGCTTTATTGGTATACCAGCTACACTGATCATTATCGAGGTTATTCCATTCTTGGTATTAGCAGTCGGAGTAGATAATATTTTTATTCTCGTTCAAACTCATCAAAGGGAAGGTAGACGTCCAAATGAATCAATCCCGGAACACATTGGTCGTACGTTGGGTCAAGTTGGCCCTAGTATGTTACTTACAAGTGTATCGGAAAGCTGTTGCTTTTTCCTTGGTATGTGTTAACAGAAAATATCGTAAACAATATACGTGGAGGAAATAAAAAAAAGAAATGAAAAAGAAAATAAAAATTATTTGCAAATAAACTTACAATTAAGATTTTTTTTTGTTTACAGGTGGTCTTTCTGATATGCCTGCTGTGAAAGCATTTGCTCTTTATGCTGGAATGGCATTATTAGTGGACTTCATATTACAAATTACATGTTTTGTCAGTCTTTTAGCGCTTGATACGATTCGGCACGCAGTATGTATAAGAATTTTATGTTATTATATATAATGAATTTTAATTCATTCGAAATTTTTATCTACAAAACTTTATAAAGACTTACTTTTCATTATTATTTTATTTTCTTCCTTTTTTCTCCCTTTCTCTTTTGTTTATTTTATATGTTAGATGCGTATGACGTCTATTACTAGCGCTATTCGTGTCATTCTATCTTCATCGTTTGTTAGATATAAAACAAGAGTAGAATGATACAAATAGTGCTAATAGCGTCTCCCTAAATATATCTTTTATATTCATGATCATATTAAATGCATAGTCTTTTTTAATTTCAGAATAACAGGTTAGATGTATGCTGCTTTATTCGCTCTAAGCGTGATGATGGAGAAGAAGTAGTAGATGGAATGTTGTATAAAATTTTCAAAGTCGCATACGTTCCGCTGTTATTGCAAAAATGGGTTCGCGCGATCGTAATGATTGTGTTTTTCGGTTGGCTCTGTAGCAGTATTGCTGTAATACCACATATTGAAATCGGCCTTGATCAAGAACTTTCTATGCCCGAAGATAGTTTTGTCCTTAAATATTTCAAAGTATGTTGTAGCCATTAGAGTATAAACGTTGAGCTAAATATGAATTATTATAAAATTGAAATTCTTTGCTTTTTTCAGTTTTTAAATAATTACTTATCTATTGGACCGCCAATGTATTTCGTCGTCAAAGATGGCCTAAATTATTCAAATACGAAAATGCAAAACTTAGTGTGTGGTGGTCAATATTGTAATAGTGATTCAGTATTGACACAAATATTTACAGCATCTAAACAACCAAATAGGTATATTACAACATGGAATAGAAAATTTTATGTATAAATTTTAATGTTTACTCTTTAGATATTGAAATATTTTTAATTTTTTTTTTTTTAGAACTTATATAGCCAAGCCTGCTTCGTCTTGGATGGATGATTATATCGATTGGTCGGGATTATCCAGTTGTTGTAAATATTTTCCTACGAACAATTCATTCTGTCCACATACTGGTATATACTTTTCTTTATAAAATTAATATACTCGTGTATATTATACTTTTATATATAAATATTTTTTTACAATAATAAATGAACTTATTTTAATTCAATTGTTTTACGTATTTTCGGTTTATAGGTCGACAATGTTTTACTTGCAATATTACTTTGAATGAATACAACAGACCAGTGCCCGTTGACTTTAATAAATATGTATCATTCTTTCTGCAAGACAATCCCGACGAAACATGTGCTAAAGGAGGTCACGCAGCTTATGGACATGGTGTGAATTATATTACTGATCCTAAAACAGAAATGTCAACAGTCGGCGCTTCATATTTTATGGCTTATCACACTATCCTCAAGACTTCAGCCGATTATTTTGAATCGATGAGAGCAGCCAGGGTAGTAGCGGCGAACATAACCAATATGCTTAGCTATAACTTGAAAAGGCATAATGAAAACACTACTGTAGAAGTTTTTCCCTACAGTGTTTTCTACGTATTTTATGAGCAGTATCTAACTATGTGGCCTGACACATTGCAGAGTATAGGAATCTCATTGCTAGCTATATTTGTGGTTACTTTCTTATTAATGGGTTTAGATATCTTCTCATCACTCGTGGTTCTAATTACAATCACAATGATTGTCATTAATATTGGTGGTCTGATGTATTGGTGGCACATAACTTTGAATGCCGTGTCTCTAGTAAATCTTGTTATGGTAAGTTGATCATTGTAAAATTAATATATTTAGTTTATATTGTTCACATATTATGTATGGATTTATTTATGGATTGTTAGTATCTGGGCATTTTTCATAGTTATATATTTAAAAATTTGATATTTAATATGGAACATTGAAATGAAACAATAAAATGTTTAAGAACTGGAAAGAATACGGGCAGTAGGAGTCAAGCGCAGAAGACGTCGCGCAAATAATATATCTATGAAGTGTGAAACTTCTTTATTCATTGAAACGCACTTTAGTGAATAGAGAAGTTTCACATTTCATAGATATATTATTTGCGCGACGTCTTCTGCGCTTGACTCCTACTGCCCGTATCCTTTCCAGTTCTTTGATTTATAAGGAGTCTTGGTTAGTTTGATTTATAATACCGATTTAAAAAGATATTAGGTCAATCAGAAAGTTCCGTCCGTTTTTTTGCAAAAAGTATAATTTTATTTAAAAAACAAAATAAAAAAGTACCTTAATCAAAATTTGTCCATTGTTAGTGATAACTTTTTCCTATCTTTCG